TTTCAGACAAATAAGTCTACATATATTGAGTGTTCGGTACTCAGAAGAAACATCAGACAGAAGCCATGTGTGGTGGTATAGGCCTGTAGGAGACAGTAGGATCATGAGTTTCAGGCAGGCCAGCCTCGGCTATACAGCTGAAAAAACAAAACAAAGTAATTTTTAAAGGTGTTTAAATCATACAAAACAAAGACCATGGTACAAACCTGAAAGCAATCCTGATCCTGTCCTTTAATAAGGAGTCGAAGAGTCTGGGCTGTGGTTGCAGAACTGTTTCTTAAAACTAGTTTCTGAAGCCTGAAAACAATTACACAATTGAAATAAATGTCTTCTTTTCCATGGATACTGCTTCAGTGACAAAAACAAAGCCAAGTGAACCTGACCACAGAGTGTAAAGATAGGCTGACTGTACAACTCACAATTATGGAACTTGTTTGTGGAAATACAAGGTCTATTAAGCCTCAACAGGGAAGGTTTTTAGTTTAATTTCTCCTCTCAGATGGCCTTATTCATATATCAAATCTTTAACGAGGTCAGAGCTACCAGGCTCATTTGTACAAAGTGGTCTTCTCAGCAGTCTGCAGTTACCTCACTTTTTAAAGACATTAGAATATAAGTAAAGGAGGCATAGAAATAGCAGGTTGCTAGTATGAAAAACCTTGAATCTTTGAAACTAATTCTTTCTTCACTTAATACAAATAAGAAATCCCTGCTGTGCACAAAAAAACGCAGACCATTACCACTTAATTTGAAGTCTGTTCTAAGTATTTATCAACTAGGCTGCAATCTCCTTAAACAAGATTCAGTGCCTCGATTATCTTCTCTCTGTCTTTCCATGAAAGTAGCCCTCATATTCATCAGAGAACTCACCAAAAGGCCTAAGAAAATAAAAACCAGTCTGAGATGCATTTTAAAAATTAAACATTATAAAATTTTTAGGGCTGGAGAGATGGCTCAGAGTTTAAGAGCACTGACTGCTCTTCCAGAAGCCCTGAGTTCAATTCCCAGCAACCACATGGTGGCTCACAACCACCCGTTATAAGACCTGGTTCCCTCTTCTGGTGTGCAGATATACATGGAAGCAGAATGTTGTATACATAATAAATAAAATCTTAATTTTTTTTTTTTTAATTTAGGCTCATCACATGAAGACTGAGCAAATACATGGCAGCTTTATCTCAAATCTAAAGAGACACATACAGTAACACCTGAGAGAGTAACATAGGTAATCAAACAACAAAATCTCAGTGCTCTTGAATGGTTGCTGTGAACACTTACTGTGTCCTGCCAAGAGGGAGGCCTCCCCAGGTCAGAAACTGCTTATTGGACAGAATCAATGGGACATCTGAGCAGGGAGATCCAGGTGGCAGAGGTTTACTCCCAGAAGGAATGACTTCACCTTTTAACACCACTTCATACTGAGGTCCTAATGGCTGCACAAATATTCTCAAGATCCTAACCGAGGAAGAAAAAACAAGCCAAGTTTCCCACACTCAGTTCTTCTGGCAACTATATCCTATACACTCCCTTTGTCCAAGAGATCGAGTCTGTGGTAAAACCACATTATTTCTGCCCCAAAAGTTTATGCTCCAGGAGGAAAGAACACACAAAAGAAGTGATAAAAATCACAATAATGTCTACATGGCAGCACAAGAGAAATTTCACAGGGCTTTCTTCATGAGGAATTCCTGAAGGTCCCAGAAGTCAGCACAGGACTGAGGCTTAAACAAGCACTTAAACTAGTGTCCGTTTTTCCCAAAGACTCTAGTAATGAACTAACCGGACGTGGTAATTCTGTACTCCATGCTGGGAATGGGCAGTGGGAGCCTCTGTGGGTGCTTGTGTGACATATGCTAAGCTACTTCTATGCAGTCAAGTTTAAACACAAAAAACAATGGTACACTGATTGAAAAATTACTTATGATTCAGATGTCAAAGCCACAGGTCCTGAAAGAGACCTGGGGAGAATTGTGAAGTAATAAAAAACAAAAGTTTTCTAGAAGAAAAAGTTTAAAGAGGAATATGCTTTATTATTTTGTCTAAATATACCAGAAAACAGCAACTTCTTAACTTTGACTCACTTGGATTAAGAGAAGCATTTTAATAACAAAAAAAGATGGGCCAGCAAGATGGTTCAGTGGGTAAAAGCACTTGCTGTGCAAGCCTGAGGAATTGCATTTGCGTCCAAGCCCATGGTGGAAGGAGAAACAACTACTGAGAATTGTCCTCTGATCTCCACACATGCACCATGCATGGCATGTATGTGACACCCATACCACACACATCATACACACAACAGTGATACTATAAATTACATATGTATATACATATATACATAAACATACATACATACCTATATATAAAGGGTAACTGAAAAGATCAAAGCACAGCTATATCATCACATCATATATTAGGTGAAATAAAATAGGTTATCTGTACATGAGTGAAAAATAACTAAGCAAGTGGTTATTCTAAGTATTTTCATATTACCTTTCTTCATATGCTTTGGAATCCTTTGGTGTAAATGAAACTGTAACTTCATGTTCTTCTCCAGGTTTAAGAAATAAACTCTCTGGATTAACTGAAAACTGGCTTCCTTTTTCTGCGACCTACGAAATTATATAACCACAATTTGTATTGTGTGCCTTTCTTTTCTAGTTTTTAGATTTTTTGTTTGTTTGGTTTTTTTTGTTTTTCTAGACAGGGTATCTCTGTGTATGCAGTAGCCCTGGATGTCCTGGAACTCTCTCGGTAGACCAGACTGGCCTCAAACTCACAGAGATCTGCCTGCCTCTGCCTCCCAAATGCTGGGATTAAAAGTGTGTGTGCCACCACCACCTGTCTTATTCCTTTTTAAAAGGATATTTCCTTCTTCCTACATTTCAAATCTTTTTCATACCCCATCACCATCTGCTAATTACTACCATAATCTCACTCACCTAAGAATCTCAGAAATAAACCTACATACGCAGACTATTCTCTCCCAGTTCTACATATGCACAGATGCCACACAAACTTCTAAGAAACTGCTCAAGAATTCTTATATTCAAAGCCATTAGGCTTCAACATTAACCAAGCATATACTTTAGGCTAGTATGACTCCCAATTTTTACAACACTCTTGGTAATTCCTAGCCTAGTCCTCATAACAGCCTAACAAGGCTGCCAGCACAGTAGTCATCAGAAAGTTACTAAAGCACTCTTGCAGAAATTCTTACCTTGATGTCTAGATAAACTTCAATATTTCCAGCATTTTTCAAAGGCAAGGGCTGCTTTGTTGAAGAATTTACATCGGCCAACAAATACATAGTCTATGGGGGTAGGGCAAAGATGCAATCAAAAAGGTGTCACAACTAAAGAACTATCAACCTGAGCACAACAGAATAACAATAGAGAGAAGATGAAGCTGGATACCTGTAAGTCCCTGGGGGCATGAATCCTAGCTATTCCTGCTCTTGCTCGGAGGTCCACACTTCTAAGAACTGGTATAGGGTTAGGGCTGTCAACTTCTATATCCACTCTAGCCAGGAATTCTTCTGCCGAGCCTAGAATTTCTATGAAAGTTTACTTTTACTTCAGTAAACAGATATTTAATCCCAGATTTCACCAGTCATGCAAAAGGATGTCCTTAGGGATCCAAAGAAAAGTCAAGGGCCAGGGAGATGGCTTAGTGGGTAAAGAGTTACTGTGCAAGTTTGATGACCTGAGTGTGATCCTTAGAACCCATGTAAAGGTAGAAGCAGAAAACCAACCCCATAAAATTGTCTAGTGACCTTCATATACATGCCCACAGATGTACAAATAATAAATTAAATAAATTAAAAGGAAAAGAAAAAGGTAAGACTTTTAAAACAATCCAAACTTAGGTATGACTAGAGAGACAAGTAGGGAGGAAGTGGGTTTTCTGCCGCACTTGCTTAGATTACCTACACTTACACAGATTTAACCCCTAGTATCACACCATCTTCCTCTTTTTACAAACAACATAAGTTTTTCACAATACCCAAAATATTGTCATTTAATTAACAAGAAAGTAAATTGTGAAATCTGAAGTTTAACTATAAAATAGGATAATTCAAAATATATATATATATACATATATGATACCTGAAGTGAGACGCTTCTTAGGACTATGGAAAATAACCCAAACTATCAGAAATTCTGGATCCTATTAAATGAAAAACAAAATTTTAATGTATATATACTACAAGCTCAAATCCCAATAAGATAAAAGTAGTTTGCAAACTTGTTCTTTACTTCTAAGCCAGTTCTTTTAAACTGACCTGTCCATCGTAACTGGCAGGCATCACGTGACTGATTACAGATGGGGTCACCAGCTGAGCAATCATGTCAGAGTAAGGAGCAGCTTTCAGAGAAGCCTGAATGGGCTCTTTGGAAAATGTGAAGCAGCGCCAGGCTAAGGCATTCTGTTTAGAAACAGGAAAATCAGTTTCAGCAAAGTCATAGCAGTATATTTGTTAATGGGCTCTTTAGCAATATAATTTACTTCTAGAAGGAAGAATTAGCCAAGAATATCAGCCATGGCTATAATTTCAAATCAATATATTCTGTAGGATGCCTCTTATTTTACATTAGTACTTACAGCACTAATCGTCAGTCTGATCGGCACAGCAGCGTGTGTCCTATTTATTAACTTGAATGGGAGAGCTTTCCAGCTTTCATAAGTCAAGTCACCAAAATCCAGAACACCTTTCTTTTCTGTATCTACCTAAGTATGAAAAAGGGACTGAGTGATAAAAAGCAGTCAATTCCTAATGAATATCTTACCTATGTGCCTGCCAGTTAAGACTCAGCATGACTGGTAAACTTGAACCTAAGTTTTCCCATTCTACTTTATTTTCCATTTCATTCTATTGCTGTCTGTAAAACTAGTTTTCTTTTAAAGTAAGCCATGTACTCAAATATATTATAGAATAAGGCAAAGTGGTTACTGCTACTTTGAAAACACTATTAGATCTTAAGATGAAACCAATCATTTTATAAAACTAATCTCCTTTTAATTAATCCTATCACTAGACTCTTAATTCCTTTCACAACTTCATGAAGATCTTGGCATATTTCAGATTCAGTCTAACACAAAAACCATTTAAAATGATGTCAAATAGACGTTTAAAGTATGTGTCAGACTGGTGTGTCTTTAAACATTGGAGAGCAACCTAACAGACTCTCCCTCATACCACATATGTGAAATTTTACACAACATTTAAAACACAACCTTTTTCTTCTATAATTTATGAAACTACAAGGAAATCAAAGACAAATTAGCAAGTGGGAGCTGAATTTTACAATGGCCAATGAAGGCCAATGACACTTTCCAAACGTAGTATATTTCAAGCTCCTTGTGGGCAGGGCAAAGCTGGAATGGAATGTAAACACCATACATAAAGAACTGAAATTCAGAGTGTCCTTTCTAGGAATATTAAAAAACAAAAACAAGACATCTAAAAAACTGCCCTGCTGTTCAAAAAACAACAGGGGACTTTCCCAGGAATGGGTACATTTCAAAAGATTGTTTGCAAGAACATCAGATCTTGAGTCTAGGTCACACCAGCACTGGCATGGAGCTTTCATATCTTCTTCCACAGTATGCTCTCAGGGTAATGAAGACACATGGAAAGAAGTCAAAGTTTTAGAAGAATTTTAAAGAGACATCCTAACAAAAAGATGCTAAAAGAAATTAGAATCCATTAACAAAAGAGAGATAGAAAGATAGAAAGATCAGCATTGGTCAGAACAGACTTTAAACAAAAGAGAAGAAAGAATGGCCCAATTCTCAGTCCCAGCTGTGTAAGGAGACAACTCTACTGTTCATACTGACTGCCATATACAAACACCCTCCTCTAACCTACACAGGCACACATGTAGTACGCATATGTACATGCAGACATACTCTCATACACATAAAAGCAAACAAAACAAAAAGAAAAATTTTTAAGAAACAGCTAAGATTTAGCTTCAAGCACTGTGGCACACCTGCCCACAAGATTCTTCCTTAGCAAATGACAAAGGATCATTTACAAATGGTTACCTCGATAACAGGGGTTTCAGCAATAGCAGTAAGAGTGACTCTGCTTCCCAAAGCTTCTGCTTGTGCTATTGTATCAGCATCTGCTGAAAATGGCCAAGAAACAATACTGAATGTACATCTGAAAATCCCAGAATTTGTGGGTATAAAAAGAATTTTTATCTCTTCTGTGGCATGAGGTCTTATAACAACTTTATTCTTGAAAACCAAGCATGTTTGTGTTGAAAGATCCACCTATAAATAAGAACAAGATAGTGTGTTAGAAATGGCTCTACCTTTCAAGGCTAATCATTTAGTGTAAGATTCCTTTTCCCAGGCAAACTAGGAAATCTAGACCTTCATTACATGTTAAAAAATACTCAACTCTTGTAACACATTATTTGAAAGGTATAATCAGTCCAAAACCAAAAAGTTGGTGAGATGACTTGTAGGTAAAAGGTACTTGATGCCAAACTTAACAGCCTGAGTCTGAACTCTGGAACTCACATGGTAAAGGAAAAAAACAATCCCTACAAGTTGACCTTTGACCTCCACACCTGTGCTATGGCATGTATATACCCACCCACACATAAATAAATAACAAGTAATAATAAAAATAAATAATCCTCACTACACATGCACAGTGTTCACTCCCATTAGATTTTAAAGTGAACATATTTACCGAAGCCGTCACTCTTCAAAAAAGGATACTGAACACAGAAGTACTTCATAGCCCCAGAAACTTGTCTAGGATGATTTCTCTTTCTACATGTTGTGTCAAATCTTACCTTTAACCTACAATGCCTTCCTCCAGTTATGATTTTTATCTCATTTAATGATCTGGTAACAGATGGGAAAGTGAGGAAAATAAGAGACAGCAGAGAAGTGATGGTTAATGTTAACTGTCAACTAGAAAACCTACCACCACCTGGGAGATGGCCTTGGTCATGCCTGTGGGAGATTATCTTGACTGCTCTATTTGAAGTGGGTAGACCCACCCACTGTAGGTGGTGCTATTCCCTAGCTGGGATCCTAGACTATGTGTGGAGAGGGAATTGAGTAGCTGCACGCATCTAATGCTCTTTGGTTGCCGATTATCAACATGATGTAATCAGCTGCTTTAAGATCTGCCTTGACTTCACTGCTATGATAGCATATACTCTAGGACTATGAGCCAAAGTAAACTCTTTCTCTACTGTTTTTGCCAAGAGAATTTTATCACAGCAACAGAAAAAGAAGTTAATAGAGACAATATTATTTTACCAGGTAAATAAGGATATTAAGGGGAAAAAGGGAATAAAACCATCCAGTGTTGTCTGGCAAGTAGCAGCCACAAAGCCTGGACATGTTGCAGAAGAGTTACTGACCCTATTCCCTACCCTCCCTATGCACAGCTTACAAATGACCATCAGAGTGAGGAAAAATTTACAGTCTCTGATAGTGGCTGTGGTTGATCATGTGAGACCCTTGCTAGACATTAAAGCTACTGTTTCCATGGATTTCAAAAGTTCACATAATAAAATTAACAGACAAATTAATAATATCGCTCATACACAAATGAAGACTAGGCCCAAATAAGTAACTTAGTTCTCTTCTTTCTTTTTTTGATACATGACAATAGCTTATAATCAATTTTATTTAGTAAAACCATGAACTCGGAGCACCCAGTGATTAAAATAATTGTGTTAAGGCAAAAAAACATGGCTTTATAAATAAATGATAATGATTAATAAACATTAAAACTGATATAAAATGTAAAGCATTCAGATTTCATGTCTTATACTGTAAATACAACAACAACAAGGGGCTTAAAAATTGACCCCATTCTAAAATTGTTTCATTGGTTAGCTATCAACTATGTGAGCAACAAAGATTAAGAAGGGGAAAAAAAAAAAAAAGAGCTGGGCATAGTGATGTCTGCATACTCATCCCAGCACTTTATAGGTGGAGATAAGGGGATCAAGAGTCTAAAGTCACCCTTGGTTACTTGCAAGTCTGAGATGGCCTGAGTTACATGAGACCCAGCCTGACAATAAACAAACAAAACAAATTAATTGTAGCAGTGCATGTGTCTGCTATACACAATGGCTCTGCACATACCCACAACTTTAAACAGGAAAAAAAAAAGAATCGTATTTGTATTTCTATATATGTCAGAAAGGTGTAAATGGACCAGATATAAACAAGGGAATGAAAAGGCCAGGCATGGTGGTCACAAAAAAATCAAGAGCAGTCTGATCTACAGAATTTCTTGCAGGCCAGGTAGGGTTACATAGGGAGCATGTTAAAACAAGAAGAGAAAAGAAAAGAAAAGAAACAAAAACAAAAAGGAGACCAGTAACATGGTTCAGTGGGTAAAGGCACTTGAACTCAAGCCCAAGATGTGGCCACTCATGCACTTAGACTTGATTTGAGGCTTGCTTAATAGAAGAAATTCATACCAGGTACTGTAAACCAGATAAACTCATGATTGAGGGAGGCTACAGGTCCTCCTGGGAAAACTCACTACTACTGTTTAGATAAACTAACATGGTACAAAACTGCACGCTAAATATTTAGGCTTAAACCCAAAGACAAATGCTATCCTCAGCCTTACTCAGAAAAGCTTTCCTTTGCAGGAACAGTAAGGAATGTAAAGCCTCTTGGCTGCTCAAGAGGCTAAGAATAAAAGATAGCTGAGTTCTCAATGCTAAACAGTAAGGACATTTATACCAACCCCTCTAAGGCTCAGGGAACATTGAGAAAGTGGGAGCAGGGAAAATGTAAAAGCTGGGAAGTTAGAAGAAAGGCTGAAAAAAGACTGTCTTCCAGGAATGCCTCTACAAACATGATCTTCACAGCAGCTGCAGCTGCCTGAACTGGGCCTGCAAAGATTAGCCTACTAATGCCAATCATGAACTGGGGACTTGCTCTTGGGCGCTCTACCCTTCCCTGCTGAACTACAGGCTACTGAAGAATTCACTGTCTTTACCTATATACCAACCATGAGCTCATCACACACAAGTGGATAGTTCTAAACCTGTGAACATTCATGAGTGAATCACACCCAAATGAAAAGACATGGATGTAGGAAAGGGACTTGCATGGGGAAAGAAGATGACAGCGGTGAGAGGAAGATAAGATAGGTGAGAGTAATCAGGGTGCATTATATACATGTAAAAGGTACAAAGAACAAATTTAAAAATTAAAACAAAACAAAAAAATTTTCCAAAAGGAGTGCTGGAGAGAAGTCTCTGTGGCTAAGAGCACTCTTGCAGCAGTCAGGCTCAGTTCCCAGCACCCACATGACAGCTCAAAGCTGTCTACAATTCCAGGTCCAAGGGATCAGACACCCTCTTCTTTCCTCTGTGGGCACTACACACTTGTGGTGCACACACGTACGTACGTACATACATACATACATACATACATACATACATACATATATACATACATGCATACACACACACACAGAGGCAAACACTCATATACATAAAAATAAATCTTAAAAAAAAACTTTCAAAAGAGGGAGGAGGAAGGGAGAGTGGGGAAAAATGTATAGCTCAATAAAAAATGTTAGAGGTTCTAAGAAACAGAAGAAGAAGAAAAAAAGAAAATAACCTTTCCAAAGAACAATTTAGTCAGAAAAAGGAAGAGCCGGGCATTGGTGGCGTATGCCTTTAATCCCAGCACTAGGGAGGCAGAGGCAGGCGGTTCTCTGTGAGTCCGAGGCCAGCCGGTCTCCAGAGCGAGTGCTAGGATAGGCTCCAAAACTACACAGAGAAACCATGTCTGGGAAAAAAGAAAGAAAGAAAGAAAGAAAGAAAGAAAGAAAGAAAGAAAAAGGAAGAAAAAAGTGAGGCTGGATCTAGGAGTTGTTAGGGGAAAGGAGACCAAAATACATAATATGTATATATTAAATTATCAAAGAATGAAAATACTTTATTATTTTAAAAGGGGAGTAAAAGGAAGTACTTCGTTAAAGTGCACCCAATGAGACAGACATACAAAACTCACCTTCTCGCCGTTCACACAGATACTGAGGACTCTGATGCTGACTTGTAGCCAACGGTCAGTTGGGTTGAGGACACTAAGGAGGGTCTGTGAAGCAATACCGACACAGCAAGCATGAGGAAACCTCAGTTCCTCAGGTACTCTGGCATTTCCTGTATAAGAGCAATCAAAATGCAAGTTACACTAAAGATCTGATTGGTTAAAAGGAAACCATTACAGAGGAGTGCCTGATTATGCCCACAAACTATAGAATAAATGCCCTAGAAGTGTAAAAATCCTTGACATAAAAACTCTCAGTGCAGCTGGGTGGTGGTGGCACACGCCTTTAATCCCAGGAGGCAGAAGCAGGCAGATCTCTGTGAGTTCGAGGTCAGCCTGGTCTACAAAGCCAAGTTCAGTAACCCTGCATAGAAACATTCTGATGCTCTCACTCTCAAAAGAAGAGCTGGTAAGAAAGAACCCAAAATAAACTGTGTGATAACGTCTACGATCCTAGTACTTTAGAAGTGGAGGCTTGAGATCAAAAGTTCAAGGTCATCCTCCCTATGTAGTAAGTATGAGTGGGGCTAATCCTGTTTTTAAATGGAATAATAAAGGGGGGGGCTAGAGAGATGGCTCAGCAGTTATGAGAATGTATTGCTCGATAATGAAGTCCTAAGTTCAAGTCCCAGTACCCATATAAGGCAGCCCACAGCCCACCCGCAACTCCAAAGAGATCCAATACCCCTCCTTCAGCCTCCATGGGCACTTGGGTATATGTATATATGTGTGCAAACAATCACAAGGATACACACAAATCTTAAAAATTAAAAAAAATTAAATTAATTTCAATCAGCGTTTCTTTGGTGGGGGGGAACAGCTTTGTGGACCCATTTGAGAAAATTCAACCTTTACAGAACAACAAAAAATATGACAAGAAAAGTCATCTTACCAAATCCAGACATTATCCCCGAGTCCCATGATTCCGTTTCACAGTTTGCACCAACAGAGAGCACAGAAAGTGGCTTTGCTGTACTCAGGAGGCTCTGGTGTACAGCAGTAGAACATGGGTTATAAAGAGAAGAGGGACCCATCATTCCAGAGGCAAGATTTGGTGCTAAACACATCCCGGAAGCCACATGTTCTGGCGCTACAGGAGGATAAGGAGAATACCCTGAAATCCCATGGACCTTCACGCCTGCATAGCACTGAGGCAAGGTGGCATTCCCAGATGAAGGGACCAGTCCCAAATACTGCTGGGCCACAGGAGCTGTGTATAGAGACTGTCCAGTCCAGAGTGTAGAGCACAGAGCAGGCTGGTTCTGCACCTTAGCAACAGAAGCATGAGCTGAAATTTGAGGAGGAAGATTGTGCTGGTTTGCAGAGGTACCCAGATTAGGAATCTGGTTGCTAGATTCACTGCTGGCAGTTGACAGGCCAGTAGATGTCAACCTTTGACCTTGTTCCACAGCCTTCTGGCTCAACACAGGGAGGCTTGGTATGGCTGGCCCAGACCAGTGGCTCAGGAGAGCCTGGCCAATCAGGTCCTGTTCACTGAGGCCAGACGTTGATTCTACATTAATGGCTTCCAAGTATTCCTCACTTTTGGAAGAAATATCTTGATTCGATGTAAATTTAGGTTCTCCATCTTCAAATCTGCTACTCAGAGAAGGAGTTTCTGTCACTTTTTCTAAACCAGACTCAACCTGGATAATACAAGGCAATGCTACTTTTTCTGCATTATGACCTGAAACTTTGTTTCTTAGCTTCTCCATAGTTTCTTCTTCTTCTTCTGGAATCGGACTGGCTCGAATAATTGTTGTACTCAACTCACTGGTGAGATCACTCTAAGTGTGACAAATTTTGTTTTTTAATAATAACAAAATATAACAGTTCAAACAATGCTGGTATAAACCTCAAAAACATGAAATCTACATGGTATCTTGAAAAACAGAGTGTACAAAGGAAAATAGCTGCAAATATGAAATGCAGGCTTACACATGAAAACTGCACCCATTGTTTCATAAAAAGGAGTGAAATAAAAGGTAAACATTAATTGCATCTAAAACATTTACATACAGAACCAAAGTCAGATAACATTTTTCAAATTAAAGGATTCATTGTAAGCTTTATAAAATATAAATTAGTAAATAAAAGTATAAGGGGCAGACAAGCTATCAAATGATATGGGCATGTTGTTACAGTTACAGTCAGTACAACGCCAGCTCCCAGACCCTCCCATATCTGTTTTCTGTCTACACTATATTAAATATGCTTGAAGACTTAGTAATAGGAATATTTTGAGTACTAAGAATTTTCCAATTTTTAAACTATGTTGTGGTTCTTTATAATGTACAACCTGAGGAGTAATAGCAACAGATCTGCAAGAGGAACAGTCTAGAACTAACACACATAGGAGCACACTTAACTCTCATTTATTATTTTTGGTTATACTGGATATTTATCATGAATGAAAGCTTTAGATATAAACTGGGCAGTGGTGGCACACACCCTTAAGCCCAGCACTAGGGAGACAGATGCAGGTGGATCTCTGTGAGTTTGAGGCCAGCCTGATCTACAGAGTGAGTTCCAGTACAGCCAGGACTGTTACACAAAGAAACCCTGTCTTTAAAAAAAAAAAAAGTAAACAGAGACTAGTAATACGTCCACAGGGTTGAATTACTAAGTGAAAGCACTGACTTCATACCACAAGCCTTCACAAGGTGAAGAAAAAAAGTAGGGCTAAAGAGGTTCTCAGGCCCCATCATTCAGCAGTTCAACTCAGGGGGTGGGGGACAGGAGTGGGTTAATTTAAACTAAGGATATGTAACAAAAAGCCTTATGGAACTCCATTATTCTATAAGCTAATTAAAAATTTAAGTTTTAAAAGAAGTTTGAATAGAGATATCCTGTATGGGCAAACAATGCTTCACCTAGAAGATATGGGTTTAAAAGTTCCAGTGCCAGGTATAGCTATGAGCTAATGGTCAGGGAGATCCTAGAGATCACCAAAACAACACAGGCTACTGCTACTGCTCTTAGGACTCACCATAACTAGATGGTAAAAACCTATTACTAAAGATACAACACACTTGGGTTGCAGTGCATAAGGAAATCAAGCTAGACCTGACCCCAGAACTTCCTCCCTGTTGGCTAGCCTTCACAACATTGAAAGATACTATGCTGACCACAAGAGAAAAGTTATCAATGGATTTAAAGTGACGAACAATGCATGCTACAATACTGATCTGCCAAGAGATTCACTCACTAGGGCAATAGTGGTGCTACTGTTACTGGGGTACCCAACTGTCTTCTGACTGCATTTGAGGGCTGTCCATGTAAGGAACTCATACGTGACACTGTAAACCTGGTCAAAAGCCCATGGCTAGGGAGGTCATAGACCCTAGGGGAACCTACTATGATTGTTTCACTAAAAGCACATGCTGTCAAAGTATCTCTGAAATATTTATGTTTATACCTGTAAATCAATACTGCTCTCATCCTTGGTCAAAGAGGCTTCTTTTTGAAGTAGGCAAGAGTCAATGTAAAGGCTCAAGTACAAATATATACATATCTTAATTCATTCTAAAGATACAGAACAGCAACACATAAGTTAAACAGGACATAATTCCAGTTTGAGTCAAATATCACTAACACTTTGGCCTTGAAGCGTACTAAAGAAACAGTACAAGTGGCACCCACCTTGTGGTCCTCTGAGCTTTCAGCAGCAGCTGGGACAGGAAAGGTGTTTTCCTGTTCAGACACGTAAGTCAGTCTGCTCATGTCATCATGGGAACATGACAATTCAGACAACTCACACTCTGAGTGGTGCTTCTGGTGATGAGCTAAATCAAGAGACTCTAGAGCACACCTGAAAGAGTTACAGGAGCATGGCATTAGAATCTCCATAAGCAATGACCACTACTGTCTATCTATAAGCTTGAAGTAACTTACCATCTTTAATTAAAACAATCAACTATTTTCCTGCTGAAGACCTATCTAGTAAGCTACCATTAAAAAAAAATTATCTCATTTTCATTAGTAAATACCATACACAGACACATATTAGTTATTCATTTAATAAATATTTATTGAGTACCTGACATACAGCAGTTAATAAAACCATTAAAAAAAAAATCCCTATCCTCAAAGAGCATAAAGAACAAAAAAAAATTAAGCAGATAAGGCAACAAAACGCCATGTATTGCTAATCAAAAGGTAAAGAGTAACTTTTGGCTGAACAATTAAGCAGCATCTAGAAAATTTGACTCAGATATTCTATACATGAAAAATTCATCAAGAAAGAAAAAATTAACAATAAATATAAAAACACGAGTTGGTGGCGCACACCTTTAATCCCAGCACTCGGGAGGCAGAGGCAGGCAGATCTCTGTGAGTTCGAAGCCAGCCTGGTCTCCAGAGCAAGCGCCAGGATAAGCTCCAAAACTACACAGAGAAACCCTGTCTCAAAAAACCAAAAAAAAAAAAAAAAATCCACCCAACTGAATAAAACTATATATATTCACACACACACACACACACACAAACAAACACACACTTCATAAAAGGTATGTTTATTGTTAATACAGTATGAAGCTCAAATGCTACACAACAGGAACTAATGCACAGCACAAGAATACAACAAAACACTCTTTAACCACTAAAAAACATGCTGTTAGGGCTGAGGATGTACTTCAATGGCTGAATGCTTCTTAGCATTACTAACATGTAACAAAACAAAAACCCCAAACCATGTTGCTGAATACAAGCTCCAGTTTAGAATGATATTCACCAAAAAAAAAAGAAAGAAAGAACACTCTTCACAATATATTAAGTAAAACAAAAACAAAATTCAATGGATAAAGGCCAAGAATGTGGCACAGTGGCAGATCATGCTCAAAAACCTGGGTATTGATCCTTAGTATCAATACAGAAAATAAATAAATGAGCAAAATGACAAAACAGCCTTTGCTATGGAACCCGCATCTATTTACCACAAACACATTGGTATTACTTGTAGCTTATTTTGTTTTTCAGCAGCCACATCAGCACCTCTAGCCCAGATCTGGGAAGAAGGAAAGCAAGCTGAACCACCACAGGGCTGCTGAGACAATTCAGCAGGTAAAGGTGCTTGCTGCCAAGCCAGACGACCTGAGCTAGATTCCAGGACTGAAATAGTGGAAAAGAAAAACACCTCCTACAGGTTGTCCTCTGACCTCTGAGCATATGCACCTTCATGAATGTGAGTGCACTCATGGACCCCTTATGCATGCCCCACATACACACAAGTAAATGTAATTCTAAGAATTTATTCCACAAGAGTTCCCTCCGAAGGGCAGAAGGGAATGAAGCAGGAAAAATATTTTTCAGAAATAATGCCTGAGTTCACATAGCTTAAAAAAAATGCAACTTGGCAAAGTTAGTAGATTAACTCTGAAATCTACTATATTAAAAACCTTAACATTTTCAGGCATTTCAGTAAGTACTCAAACTTGTTCACTTAAATCTTTCAACAGAAAAACACTTGAATGATCTCTTATGAAGTCACAAAAGAGAATATTTGCAGAATTAGAAGTTAAAAGAAGACTATTCATTTCAATGTTATTAAAATAGCAAAACATGGGGCTGGAGAGATGGCCCAGAGGTTAAGAACAATGGCTGTTGTAGTAAACCTGGGTTCAATTCCAAGCACCCACATGGCAGCTCACAATTGCCTACAACTCCACAGGGATTCAATGTCTTCTGGCCTCCTCAGGCACCAGGCACACACATGGTACACTTACATATATGTGGGCAAAATAATCACACATGAAGTCAAATAATCTTTAAAAGATAGTAAAACACAAATGCTATACTAAACAATACTAGAAAGACTGAATAAACCATGAAAGTGCCTACCCTGGTTACCATTAAACTGTCAACTTGACACAGCCTAGAATTGTCTTTATCAGGTTGGTATGTGGGCCTGTCTGTGAGGGATTTCCTTGACTGTCCTGAGTGGCACCATCCCTAGGCATGGACTGTATAGGCTAGCTAAGCATGACTCTTTCAGGCAGAGAGCAAGCCATCAAGCAGCATCCACAAGGTTCCTGCCTTGAGTTCCTGCCCTGATGTTCCTCAATGATGGACTGTGACCTAGAAGTATAAACTGAAATAAACTTTTTTTCCTCTAAGTTGCTTTTGGTCATGGTGTTTTATCCCAGCAACAGCAAGGAAACTAAAACAGGCCCATTATGCATTCAAAAATATTACTATGTCAGTTTCTTTAAAAAAAAAAACAAACAAACAAAAAAGGAAAAGCAGAAAGCAGAATACAGGATCAGAGGAGATGGGTCAGTGGTTAAAGTGCTTACAGGCAATCCTAAGAAACTGAATTTAAATGCCCAGCACCCACATAATGAAAAACAATAATGAAAGCAAACAAACAAACAAACAAAAATCCATCAGCTATGGCAAGTATGCATCTATAATAGCAGCATGGGGACCAGAGAGAGGAGGAACTATGGGCTTGCTGGCCAAAGCTTACTGGCTTGAAAAAAAAAATGGGTGAGCTGCAGGCTTTCTTTCTCAATATAAAATAAGGTGGGAAAGCAATTGAAATAGCATCAGGGAGACAGAGGCAGGTAGATCTCTGTTGACTTCAAGGCCAGGCATAAAGCCCCTATTTCAAAAAGGTATTTTAGTACCCGGGC